GCCAATGACCAAAGGGAAATAAATCCTTAGTAAGTTAAGGATCCAGAGGGAGGCCAAGGACTACTGAGGCAGGTCGCACCTGGGCAAAAGCCGGGGGTGAGTTTCTAGTTTGGTTAGATTAGCAATAGCTAAAGATAGAAATGTATAACGATAATTCTTGAATAGCTTAATCTCAAAAAAAAATTAGTCATGCAGATCATATGACAAAATGATATACGCTCTACCCTTAAGTTTAATTGTAATTCCGAATATCATTCTGATCGATCTACGCTAAGTTAACAGAAATTAATAAATTTGCTTGATTTCTGTTAAATTTTGGTATGTCAACTAATATATAAAATTTGGTATATCCATTAGAACATGTTCTATGACTGTTTAATAGAAATCCTGTGGTTTGTGCACGGGTCTATTTCATACTATATATTGTATCAAAGAGGATCTTGGGCGGATATAGGTATTTCCGAATTAAAACCAAAGTATATAAAATAAAATTTAGATGCCTTAGTTTAACTAGGTAATAAGTATGTATGGACGTACAGTTTAATTTTTGTAAAAAGAAATATTTTTATGATATTAACTATATTTAAATCCAGTTTTAATCAAAAAAAGTAGGTATTGGCACAGTAAATTGGATAAAATTTTTTCCTTCAACGTAATGTCAACGTTGTAGATCAAACTTATAACCAATCATAATAGGCGTTTCGATCTTACAAGCCACGTGTAAAAAGTATAATACATTAAATAGTACGTATAAACAGTGAAAGCTTTATAAATAGAAAACAAACAAGGGACGTACGTACGTACGAAGCTCTCTTATAACTTGTAGACCAACTCCAGCGATTTCTGCGAATTACTCTATTGTTTCTATACGTGCAAAAACTACATCGTATAAAATGTCCGGAATTTGTAAAGCTCGTCTCACTGAAGAACGTCGGCAGTGGAGAAAAGATCATCCATACGTAAGACGATGGATCTATAGTTTTCCCCTCTTTACCGGTGCAACTTCTATTATTCTTATTTACAAACTTTTCTACTGTCTTTCTTAATAGGGATTTTATGCACGTCCCGTAAAGACTGAAAACGGATTAGATTTATTGAATTGGCAAGTGGGAATTCCGGGAAAAAAAGGGGTAAATCATTGGTGTAATTCTTGATTTCTTTAAACTGCCTCTACTCTCAGGGTATGAGTTTTTATTATATTGAAGTGTTGAAATTTTCGATTATTGTAATAGACACCATGGGAAAACGG